AAAATAGTGCAAAAGCACATGTCGAAAAAACACTTTATCGCGTTCCATTTTTCACAAAGCAAAAGAAATTGTTGTTTAGGAAAATAATTGTGTATGCTGACTGAATGTTATCGAGAAATGTCGAAATTAATCACAAACTACCTGTTTCGTTAGTAATGACTACTAGAACTGTTTGCATTGCCATCTAACATTTGCGGGCGGAAACTAAGTTAAGGTCCTAATACTATACTGCTATGGACAACATTTACACAGCCGCGCAAGCTGTGCACGATATTAGTTTGAAAAATGGCGCAAAAAAAGAAATCGATGAAAATACAAAAGCAGGAAACGAACCGTTACATTTAACTGTATCTGGTGATGGTACATGGAGCAAACGAGGCTTCTCATCCTTATTTGGTGTTATTACATTGATCGGAAAGTACACAAACAAGGTACTAGATGTTGTGATCAAATCTAGCTTCTGTAAAGCATGTTCACTTCGAAAACATGATGATTCTATAGAAGAGTTATTGTGGCAAGAGGAACACGAACAGAACTGCACGATCAATCATTCAGGAAGCGCTGGAAAAATGGAAGTCGACGGCATTATTGAAATGTTCAAACGTTCATAAGATTTACACGACGCTATGTACGAAAATTATATAGGCGATGGAGACAGCAAAACTTTTAAAAATTTACTCAATGAAAAGCCATACGGAGACGAATTATCAGTAAAAAAAAAGAGATGCGAAAAAATGGAGGTGTGTTTTTCTGATGATCGCTAATTCGATCGCCATTTGGAGGCATTAAAACGCATCTTTTTATGAATAAAAAAAATTTTTTTTGGAGTTTAAATGTTAAACAATTCCATGAAAAAACCGCATCTTCCTATATATAATAGATTTTCTTTTAAAAATTCGTAAAAATAGGCTATTTTTACGGCCGGCGAATGTAAAAGCCTCCTTAAGCGCTCCAAAAGCGTTTATACCTTCAAATAGATCCTACAAAATATATGCGATATCGTAGTGTTTGTCAGTCATTTATCCGTTTTAGCCAATTTTTCGTATCCAGATAATTTCCGCTATAACTGCAAGATCGTTTTCTTTAAATGTATTGCTGATTTAATCAGAAATATTTTCACTGATTCACTCGAAGGAAGTGTATAAGTAAAAAGTGTTTCAACGATGAAATATCAAGCCTCGTCTGCAATACGCGGAGTAAGTTGGAATAAGAAATAAAAATGTTCCCGCACAGCTTCCTTACCCCGGAAGTATTTCTCTCAAGTAAGAGATTTACTCCAACTCACGTCAAGCTTACTCCGCGTATTCTATAGAGGAGTCTTCATGCATACACAAATCATACACGAGAGTGTACGAGATATAATCGTAAATAACACGACGCGCGTGATGTCGTGATTGTGCGCAACGGCGTGCGCGACGGTGTACAGTTGGATGTCTTTAAGACACCTCCAGAATTCGATGAAGAATTGCTCGGGTCCTGCGACAGGTGCTCGAGCCGTCGAGAGCGACGAAGTGTCTTATTAAACGGGGTCCTCGTCGCGTAACAGATCCGCAATGCCCGCCATTGTTACGATTTCGAAGCCTTGAACGGACACGCGGCTTCGCCCACGCCCGGTTCTCGCACCGATGGTGCAACGCGACGAGAGCGAGAGCGCACTTTATCGTTAGTCCATTTGCATGCCGGCATTTGTTTAGTTTCTGCCATTTCTCACGCCCGTCAAATCTACGCAACGCAATCTCCAGCGCGCGCGGCATTAATCCGACGCTCATTAATACGACGGTTATGAGTATTCCGCAACCAGCTTGCCGGCACAGATCCCCGACGTCAGCCCACGCGCAACCTTTCCCGAGGAGATCCGCGTTGCCCCGGCGGTTCGCACGCCGAAAAAAAAGAAAGTGGAAGCCGTTCGCGCGAGAGGCTACCACTGCTGCTTCCGGTCTTGTTTTTCCCCTTTCTTCTTTTTCTTTCCCCTAATAAGCGGTCCAACGAAAATCGAGAGTGGCCCGACGTTACGTCGCCAAGTAAGGTAAAAGTACCAATACCCAGAAATATACCTAATCCTGGACACTCTCTTTGTTTTGGTCCTTAAATATTTACACGGAAAAAAAAGATTTGGTTGAATTAACCAAATATCTGGTCGAATATGAACGATCCAGAAATTCCGACTGAAGTAACCCGAATTCTGTTAACTTCTGTTAAGTTAACAAGATTTTTGGTAGACTAACCAAACATGTCTGGTTAATTAAAAATCTTGCTAACTTAAACAAAACTCGGATTACCTCAATCGGAATTTTTGGATCGTTCATATTCGACCAGATATTTGGTAAATTCAACCAAATCTTTTTTCCCCGTGTAAACTTTCAACATGAAATATATGTACGTATTTGAGTAAATATATTCTACGTTGAAAGTTTAAACATTCATATTTAAAGATTAAAGATAAAGAAATGTCCGGGAATCTTTGCCTTAATGAGGAACGAATCGGCGGTGAAATCTTCTTCTTTCGATTACGAAACCGGACGTGGAATGATAATAACAAGTCGATTGTAACTGCGCGAGCAGCGGCCGGCTTCGACGACGGCTCACATGCGATGTTCGAATTTTCAGGCGGCACTATGCAGACCGAGGAAGTCGTGCCGCGCGCACAGTCGATTGGCATAGACAGTGGTCTCACCGACGGCGCCGGTCTGCAGCATCATTTGCATCACTCAGTGCACTTACGCTGCCCGTTACCGCCTCTAATCCACATGGCCGTCAAGCAGGAGCCGCAAGAGGAGGAAGAGCGAAGTCGCGACGCGAACACGTTGAGGTGAGTCGTCGACTCCTCGAGCTTCACCACCGAGAGACACTCGCCTTGTCTACGTGTCGCGTCACGGCTCGATAAGTCGAATCAAATGCACGCTCTTTCGGTGGACTAGCAGTCGAGTGGATTGACTATCTTATTCCGCGTCATAGCCGTACCTATCGCCGGCCAGAGAGTCGACGATAGCTTACTTCGCGAGCGTCGGTGAACGAAAGTTCTCTTGTGATTTCGCCAGCTCGCAAGTGGACGCAAGCAACGCCGCGAGCTCGCTGGACGGCAAGCACGGACAGCAGGTAGCTCATCATCAAATTCAGGGCCTGGGAGAGAATTCCACGCTGACCGTCCCGGACCCCGCTAATCGAGGGCGGCCCAGGTGATTCATTTCCCTTCCTATTCTACGCAATGCGACTTGAGCGCAATCGGATAGAGTAATAAAAGCGAGACGCGCGCGAACAAGCGCGTAACGAGCGTGTCTCGCAGCGCCTTTTACATCGGCTTGCAGCGCGCGTCAACGACTCGGCCGCTCTTTTCCTCTCTCTGGTAATTTTTTTTTTCTTTTCTTACTCTTTTTCGTCGCGTCACTAACGACGTCTTTAACGTAAAACCGGCAGTGTCCAGGAAAGTGCTTCAAATGGCCGACGGCAAGAAAGACAGGCGCCGGGAAACTGGTTCGTGCCGAGCGACTCTTCTAAAGTCTTGGACGCGCGCGGAAAAAGTATTCGCGGATGTAGCGTCAGTGAGACGCGCCGCGAGCAAGAGAGTCGATCACCGTTATTATTGAATTTCATTAAACGGACCGGCCGGCTAGAGATGTGAAGAAGAGGTGGACGACGAAGAATAAGAAGAAGAAGCGCGCGAGACACGCTCTCTGCATACGCGCGAAGGCGTCGCTATAAAGCACCGTTAAGGTGTGGTTCGGAATGCAGTCGCCGAGCAAACGCGTTAATGAAGCAGCGATATCAATTGCTCTACGAGCGCATGCCACTTTGAATACCTTTCTTTCCACGAGAGGTTAATCCCTTCGCGTTCGTAAGAGGATAACGTCTACTTTGCTCTATCGCTTTGCGATACGTCGTCGCGATACCGAATAACGGAGGTCGCGTGGTCTTCTTTCTTCCTTTCTTATAAACATCGATCGTTATGACGACGTTTCCTGGCATTACCATGCGATTTCCTTAAAGCCCTTTGGCCTTTCAGTATCGCGCATTTAGAGATGAAATTTCTTCATCAATCTCTCATCATCGTCATCAATCTTCATCACTCGTCATTAATCCTACACATACCGTCAGGCTTGAAAGATCAATGAAGAATATCAAATTAAAACACTGCACTAACTATTGCTCAACCTTCCCAAGTCGAAATCTTGGCCCTATGTTAAACCTTGAATTCTACAACGCATAACAGGAGCTAAGCAGGTTTAACTCTAATGATACAATTTACTCTTACTTTGACTTTGATGTCCGAAATTTTTCTTTTCACTTTCTCTAGCGTCAAAATAAATATTGAACGGAGTAGTGAGACTAAAAATAGGATCAAAATTTCGACTCGGATGGATTAAATAGAATTGAAAGAGGCCGATATTTAAGTTTCAAAATAAATGTTGAGTGAGATAGCACAAGGTTGAAAGTAGAATCAAAATTTTGATTGACGCTACGAATCGTTTAACTTGCCATCATTTTTTCTATGTTGAAATTTTTTGTAAGTGTAAAAAAGTGTTCGGGAATTATTTAATATTCGATCAATACCTACCTGCATTTTATCTTTATTCTTGATTTTCATAAGCAACGTATTGATTATATAATCGCAGATAAATATATGCGATAAGCATATCTTAAATAATTGATATAAATAAATGACACCAACGTTTCATAATTTTTGTTATTCCTTTTTTATATCGGAATTTCGATAGGATTTGGATATTCAAATGAGCTAAGAAACAAAAAATTACGAGGTAAAGGAAGTTACTTAATATCCACATAAGCATTTAAATGATAATTCGGTACAGTAACAAGGCTACGCGGAAATAAAAAAAAAAAAAGAAACGGGCGTTGGCAGACTCAAGGCGAAGTTTCACATACCAAGAACTATTGTTAGAGAAATAAATATCAGCATTTGTAAATCAATAATTGTAAATTATTTATGGTCTTTGATTGCAAATATAATAAATTATAAATTCGTATATGAACTATTATTCGTAATAAAAAAGATTAAACGCAGGTAGACTATTGAGAAATGGTTTAATATTAAACAGTTCTGAAATAAATTCGGTAAAGGTGTAGAAAAAGGGCGCCACCTCAGATCAGCCTGATCTTGACATATGTCATAGAGGTCACCCTTCTGAGTGACCTTCTGAAGATTTTAGCCGTCGCTCATTGTTTGTTAAAAAATTATTGATGAAAGAAGTCCGAAAAATATATTACAATTTTTCGATACTGTGTCCCGTTAACGAGCAATATCGAAAGATAAGTGCGATATCGAACAACTAGCGGGAGGCTACGTCCCCCGCACACTCCCTTAAAACTAACCTAACCCAACCTATCGT